AAATCTGATAGGTAGCTTAAACTGAACTTGTCCCCAAACTCTTTATTTCTCTCTACCGTAGTCTCTATTTTTTGTGCCATCTTACCGAGCTCAAAAACAAAACACAACAAAAACAAAAAAACAAATGCCAGCATCCACCTAATTGCTCAAAGAAAATTCTAGGAAGTATCCTTGATTCTTATCTTACTCTATTCCTGCACTTCTAAACCACTAGTAAGTAATTTATCTCCTTCCAAAATATACCTCCCATTCATTTATCTCTCTCGATCCCCATAATTATCATCCTTGTCCAAGCTGGTATCATTCCTCCTGTAGACTACTGCATACACTGTCTTCCTTCCCTTCAAGAAACAAAACAAAACAAAAGCACACACAAAAAGCCCAACTATTTTCCTTGGAGCAGCCAGAGTTGCACTGTAAAAAATATAATGGACTCATATCACTCCTCTGCTTAAATACTTCTAAAATCTAAAGGCTTTCTATCACCCCGAGAATAAAACCCTGGCTGGCTTACCAAGCCATCTGTGTCAGGGTACTATGCTACCTTTCTGACCTCATCTGATACCATTTGCCCTTCATGCTCAACTTTCAATGCTCCCAACTCACCATACTTCTTTCCCTTCCTCATCAGATCAAACTTGAACCCACAGCAGGGCCACTGCACTTGCCAGTCCCTTTGAAATACCCTTTGCCTTCACCTTGGAGTAGTTGGTTCCCTGTCATTCAGACCCAAGTTTAATTGCCACTTCCTCCAAGAAGCCTTTCTTGTATGTCCAGTTAGGGCAACTACTGGCTCTTTCAAACACAACAGATCAGTCATCATCAACTGACATTTTGTTTAATTATTAATCCATTTATTTTCTTGCTTAATAAGCTAAACTCTAAGTTCCATGAGAGCTTCGGCTCTGAGAAACACCTGATTATTCTCCTACCTACCTCAGTGTTTAGACTAGTGCTTGCTGTATACACGAGTGTGGAAAGTATTCAATACATTTTTAAATAGATGAATGAGTGGATGAATATTTTAAGAGCCAAAATATATTTTCAACTTAAAAATAAACACTTGGAGGATGAAGGCTGATGAAACCAATCTTCAAAAAGGCAAGGTTGTTTAGCATTATACCAACAAGTAAACTCTTATTGTTCTTATATTATTCTTATCAATTTTGTTATATTTCCCCTTGCGTTGTCCTGTTTACATTTTCTTTTTTGCCATAGCACTCATCGCTCACTATTAACTCTATTTTCTGCATGTCTCTTGGCTGAAAAGCTATCTCCCCATACTAAAAATGTAAGCTCTGTGAAGGAAGTGATTTTTTTTTTCTTGTTTACTAACCACTGAATTTATAATCTAGGACCATAACTTGAACACAGAGACACTCAAAAATTTTCATTGAATGAGTGAACATATGAGATATAGTTGAAAGTGGTTGATTCAGTTCCTCTCAATTTGCAGTGAAGAAGCAAAAGCAGTTTGATTTAGAGGCAATGGGCCATCTATTCTAGGTAAACACTTTTGATCACAGATCTCTATATATTCCTAAGGCTCAAATTTCTTCAGACATTGGGTAAGCTTTAGTTTTTGCTCCCTGAAAAATGAGAATTAAAGGAAATAAACAAAGCAATTAAACTTATCTTTTTAGAGCAAACCCACCTGGAGAGTTTCAATAATCACCACCAACTGATTATCATTCAGGGATAAATGAGACAAAAGAGAAAATAAGATGGATGGAAGAAAAACCTGCAAGGCACTTTTTGTGCTGCTTAGGATAAGACTTCTCTTGTTTTATTGAATTTGTTAATAAAAGCTCTAAAGTCTGGGGAAATGCTTCCAGGCAACAAAAGGAAAGTTTTGAAGCTCACAGGTCTAAGGAGAAATTAATAAAATGCAGTGGGGAAATTAAGTTGAACAAAAGTGCAATGAGCCATAGTTAAACCAATTAATTAGGCAGGTTTTGATATGTATATACTGAGTTGCTGAAGAATTAAACATAAATCCAAGATTTTAAACCAGGGTTTGGTATTCAACAAAACGGCAAATAGAAACATGCAGAAAACTCATATATTTTTTCGTAGTGTTCTTTGATGGATTCCTCCCATATCCACATGTATCACCATGTTTCTTTTTTCTATTAATCTTGAAAAAAAAAACTATGCTTTCAATAATATACCAGCCTTGGGCTTTGCCTGATTCTCTCCTGCATTCTTTGTATACCAATAAAAAAACTGTATCACTTTTTGCAACATCAATTATAAAAAAATATATATTTTTTTCAGCAGGATGTCTGCCACTTTTCAGGCCATGATGAAGATGAACTGGCTAGTGCACCTGGAGCCTGGAAGGTGTGAGGCAGGACAGGAGACAGGTCAGGACAACAGGCCGGGGAGTCACTCAGATCAGGGTTTAATTCCAAACTTGACAGTGAAGAGCAGTGAGACCCTGCACAAATAATTTAGCTTCGGTAAGCCTCAGTGTCCTCCACTGTACAAATGTTGTACGAGTGAGGTATATTTGAAAATTCCTTGGCACATGTGTGAAGAGATTTCCCAACACAATGGAAGTAGTTAAGAGTATAAAGCAGTTTCCAGTTTGTGGATGCCTTTTGATTGCGAAAATGGCTTGTTTGGAACTTTAAACATATATTCCCACCAATAAGATATTACATATAAAAAATAAAATAATGAAATGGTTAGTAGAAGGTAGGTTTCTAGACTAATGTCCCAAACCTTCAATTATCATAACATTAGTTCAGATAAGAATTGTCCTAATAGTGCTCTGGCTGGGTGGCAACCATGACCTGGTTTCTCCTTGAGTTTTCCTTTTTCAGCATTGCAAGTCCCTCGTTCTGGGAAACACTTTGGTCCCAGACAAACCTAATCATGATTCCCACATTTGGACTTAATCATCATTCATTCATCCATCCATCCATTTTTCTGTGGCACCAGGCACAGTTTAGACACTGAAGATAAAGGCAAATCTCCCCTAAGAAGCCGAGAGCCCGCAAAGGGGGCAGGCAGATGAACAAACGTATTGCTAAACGCTAATGATGAACGTATGTCCAGGGTGCCAGGGCAATACACACATTTGTGGTTTAGAGAGACTCCTAGAGGAGCTGATTACTAAGCTGGAACTTGAACCAAGTTCCTCCTACTTTATTCTTTGGGGCATGTTTCATGTCTGAGCTCAGTATTACTTAAATATACATGTTACTATGCCATCTTTTTATTTGTTTATTATTATTATTTTTAAAGATTTTTATTGGGGAATTGGGGGAAGGGGAACAGACAAGTTGCTGTCCTTTTGTTCTTCAGTCTAGTTGTGGAGGACGTTGCTTCACTGTCCCAAGTTGGCACCATCATTGTGCTCTTCCCGGGCAAGGCAGATCAGTCGCTGGCTTCTGGACGGCCGCTCACGGCGGCTCACAGCAGCCCACGGCAGCCCCACTGCAGCCTAAGCTGTAGCTGGCAACTCATGGCAGCCCAGCTCCAGGTTGAGCTGTTGTTCAGCATCTTAGCTGTGGAGGGCAGCGTCACTGGCCCTCATATGTGGGATCGGAACCGGGGCCCTCTGGCGTCCCAAGCCAGCTCTTAACCAATGCGCCACTCAGCCGGCCCACAATGCCATCTTTTTAGATTCACCTTGGTCATTATCTAAACAGATTCTGAATAACTCTTGGTATGCATGTGATTTTTGTGAAATGTCAGAAAAATATGAATAGAAACAACCACAAACCTTTGATTTTTATAGCAATTCTTTCCACGCTGGAGATACCAGCTAGTTAAAAATCTGCTTTTTGAATGTTAATTGCCTGCTTGCTTTTTCATTATTTGAAATTCATTGCCCAAAGGAAATTATTGTAACAACATGTTAAATTGAACAAAAAAACATAAGTTATAATAAATAACACTGTTCTATCCAGAATAATGTAGCGGTTGCCTGAAAGTTAGCAAGTTAAACATGTTTCCTAAAGCTTGTTATCACGGAACTTGCATTCTACTCTTAATGCTTTTAAAATATTCCTGAACACGCCTCTATCATTACAGCAAATGCTGCAGTAAGACGATAAGACACAGGCTGCTCAGACAACAGAAAACTCTGATGGAAGGAACACGCTTGGAGATTCGGTTCTCCACCTGGAGGAAGCAGCAGGGTTTTCACAGACTCTGGGAGTGAGAGGGGGTGTAATTCTCAGACAGACTGTAAGCTCCATGGCGGGTCAGGGACCACGTCTATATTATTCACTGCCGCTTTCCCAATGCTGGGGACATGACAGAAGCGCAAGATGGTTGAGTAAATCGCAAAACACATTTGAAAGTCTTCACTCTATTTGTAACAAATGATCATCCAGACTCCTATAAACTCTAGGGACTGAAAAGTCCCCTTTGCCATTCATGAAAATCAGTAACCCTCTCTGACATCAGCAAGCGAGGCAGGTAAGTTTCAGTCAGTTAGTTACAACACAGACCAATACTATCTATTCTATATATGTAGAGACCAGTTAGTGTCACTCCATTCCTCAGCCTCAGACTACATCTCTCATCATGGCTAGTCACCTCTGAGATATTTATAGGAATTTACTAAGAATGCGCATGTCGTTAAGAATAAATAATCCTTGTTAGAGTCAAGATATCTCACACCACGCTTTCCATAGTGTATGGACCAAAATAATCCACTTATAGACTCATCAATTATAATTAACATCTCTCTTAAGCCCCAAAGGGATTATAAATGTACATCAGATAATGATCTTATTGACTATGAAGGTTCTTGGTAATTCTGAGCAACCAGACAAATGAAAATACTACAATTCTCACTTGTGAGCACTTTTTTTTTTTTTTTTACATTTTGGTCATTTTTTAAAATACTTGTATACTTGTTAATGTATATTTAAATAATGTATATTTAAAATTATCAACACGTCTGATACATTTAAAATTCAATGGAAGAGTAGAACAGCAAGTCCTTTTAAAGTTTTAAACATTTTCATATTATTATTTACCTTTGAAGTTTACTACACCAACTGCAGTTGAAGCCAATCTGAGAAGATACACAAGGGCCACAACCATTAAACTGGAGACAGGCTAAAAAACAGGAGAAAATAGCGTCATCACGACTAATTGGCAGCAGGTTGAAAACGACAACAACAACAATTGCTCAACCAAAATAAAAGTCACCCACCCATCCCCATAGACATGCAGGATGAACATGCTCGTGCATGTCAAGTACCATGTTATAATTATTGGTAAACAGATCAGATCATCAAACTTGCAAATCAGTTTTTCCACCTTGCTATGTTCACATGTTAACTTACTAGGTAATGGGGTCATCTCCACAGCTGAAATGTTGGTAATTTTTGACATTTGTAACTCTACTCGGTGGTATTCATAAATTGTTCTTCTTCGAACATCTGTAAAAACAAAAGTAGAAAAAATTAAATTTCAACATTTCTTTACCTATAAAACAACAGTGTTTTAATAATGAACACAGAAGTGTATACTTTCTTCCCTGGTGCAGTTTTAAAATAGCAATCCCTAAAAAAAAAACTGACTAAATAAAATAAAATAAAATAAATAAAATAGCAATCCCTTTGAAGAGACTGATTATAAAAAACAGAACAAAACATGACAATCATGTGGCTATGTACCCAGAATTTTTTTTTTTCAGCTGAGCCATCCTGCCACCTGTTGGCAGCTCAACGGCAGCTCAGCTCAGGCTGGGAATTGAACCGGCAGCCCTGTTGCTCAGAGCTCTCACTCTTGAGTGAGCTATAACCACCCAGAGGTCTTTTTTATCAAGGAAGTTGAAAATGTTGATTAGGGTCTCAGATATCTTACTTCATTAGCAAGGCTCCAATCCATTGCTACCCAGGGTATACTTAAGACATTTTTTTGATAGGCTTATATATTTTGAAAGATTTTGACATATGAAATCAAAGAGTTAAGATGACATAATTTATTCCAAACTTAGTGAATCCTTTAGGAATGGGTAGCAATTAAAACTTCTTCACAGTCTAAATAAAATTGTTTTGTCGAAACAAGAGTTTGACTGTTTTAAAGGTTTAGAATAAATTTCTTTAATAAAAGTAAACCCGAACTTAAAAAAAACCAGTATTGCTATTTATTAAATATACAATATCCTATCTAAGGAAGGTTAATAATTTGCACTTATATGGCATGCAGGAATTTGTAATAATTCCTCAGTAAATCCAGCAGTGTCCCTGACAAATAGGCTAGATGGAGCCTTTGACAAGAACTTGAACAATTAAAAATCAGACAAATATAAGCAAACATATTTTATAACAAAACGAAACTTGACAAAATAGATTTAAAATTCCCTTTTAATAAAAGACCTGAACGTTATACTAATGTGCCAGCCTGAGTTTGGTAAATGTCAATGGATAAATAATGTTATCAGTGTTTTAATTAGCTCTTGGAATGCTTGTAATGACAGGAATCCTTTTCCTGAATACTATCATATCTGTCAGGAGTTATTTGGGAAACTATCAGTTATTTTTTAAATATCATGGTATCCAATCTCGGGAAGTCATATGTCACAGTGGTTAATAACACATGCTCTTGAACAGCGTGTCTTGTTCAGATCCCAATGTTGCTACGCAATGTCTGTGTGACCTCGGTCTCTTTTGTGAGCCTCTCCGTGCCTCAATTTCCCTATCTATAGACTAAAGAAAATAGTACCTATATCACTAAGTTTTTTTGAGGATTAAAATGAGATAATAAGTGCAAATTACTTAGAACGAGCCCTTTCACATCACAAGTGTTTAATAAATGTCAGATAAAATTTTTGTTTAAGTTCAATCTGGCAACCACAGGTCATACTGTTCATAGGCTATACATCATAATCTAATTTCTAAAGCTCCCTGAAATCACACAGAGGCCCTGAAATCTGGCTTCTAAGAATTTGTCTCCTATCTTATTTTAGAGAAAGTTAAATCTTGAATAAAGTCAATAGACCCTCTAGGGCAGAAAGCAAGAATATTGTGGCCCAGGAAATATTATAGTTGAGCTAGTTTTTATAAAAGTGATCAGGAAATGTAGATACTTAAACATCAAACATCTATGCACAACCTACACATATCTCTACTTTTCTTCACTCATATCCCTCCACCCATTTCTGATTATTCACCAAGAAATTCTGCTCCAGAAGAAAGGGGGAGGGAATGGCCCCCAAATGAACTCTTTTGGAGCTTGGAGTAGTTCTAAAGTCACCCGCTGAATATATCTTCAGGTTTATGAAATTGGAAAACATTGTTTAGGACCCTAATCCCATTAATTACTTTTTGGTGTAAACAAAAGATGCATATATACTTTTAGAGCTTAAAATTTATCAAACATTAGAGAAAATGCTGACTTCATGGTATTTTGTAAGGCTTCATGAGACACAGGAATCATGTTTTAAAAAATTTTTAAAAACTTTTAAGGCAAGTAAAAACATTACTCAGCTTCTGCCTTTGTCTAAATAGGATGTATTCCTATATAGCCACTTTGCCATATATTTTGCTAAACAGTTTAGTTCTCACAAATAATAAATGGCTTTGTCTTGAGATCACTGGGATGGGGGTCTTGAGTTTTCTTCATATTGAAATTTTGCACAGTATCTACCATATTAGCAGGTGCTTAAAATATTAGTTTTCTTTGCATTTCATATTGTACTTTGCAAAGCTCAAACTACTGACATAATGACTGCAAAGCCTTGGCAGTTAATTACTCGTCATGCCACTGGGGTCAAGGGAGAGAGTGACCATTTTTGCAGTGCTAGTTCTATCACCTGCTCAGAATCCTATAATTAATTACTGGGAGGGAATAGAGGCATTTAACAAAACCAAAATTAATGAGAATAATTTTTATTTGATGACCTGCCAGTTAATGACAGCTTCCAAAGGGTCATTTCTGTTTTGTTTCAGAGACGTCCCTGTCAACAAAAAGTAATTAGGAGCCTATTTACTGGTAGCTCCTGCCAATACTAGAAGCTTTCATTTGATTCCAGAAATGCATTTAGCTCATGTATCTTCCTTAGAAAGTCAGACAAAATAATGTACCAAACATTCAGTTTTACTAACGGTGATACAGCTTCAACTGTTTCCTTACAACTTTCCAAAACCAAGTTCAACTATCATGTCCATTAGGGGTTTTTAAAAATTGAAAAAAAAAAAAATCTCTGAGCAGACTAACACATAGAAAACAAAATAAAGTTCAGTCATCAAAATCTTCAGGTAATATGATTCCAAGTGTAACTACTGAATTGCATGTTGTAGAAATTCTGAGCAACATCTGTAGGCTGGGCAGGAGTGATCACGTAGAAACCCCAGGAATCCTCTCCATTCAATATTCACTCTAGCCGAAATAAACACAGTTTAATGAGTGCCCTGTAGCATGGTAGTCATGATGTAGTTTATTTGCCTGTCTTGAAAGCTAACATTCACATAGAGAATACATGAGTAATTTCCTAAACTGACTGACTCATATCTGTGTAAATATTTTAATATTCTGTCTGTATTGTCATGTAAATGATTTGCTAACATTTCCTTATTTATGTGTTGCCAATGCTTAATGACTGACCCAAATGATTATTTATTTTCTTTTCTAGTTCCAACTGAGCCCACCACACAGTACCACTCACTGAATACTTCTGAATGTAAATAGCATATATTGCACAACTACAAGTTCATCCACAACATGAAGACTCAGGAATAAAAAAGAGACTCTTGAGAAAAAAGTGCACTATTAACAGCAGTTATTAGCTTTTCACACAAAAATGTCATGCATTAACAGAATTAGCTAGCTGTAGTTGCTACATAAAGCGTCCATTATACAAATAGAAAATGCTTTTACCTTGAACTTTTTTTATTCCCTCTATAGTTCTAATTCTATTAAACAATAATGTAATTCAGCATTGGATAAGGCAACATAAAATTTAGATGACTATGAAGTGCTAAGATGAGGCTCTTCAATTTTCCTTTCATCATTCCCTCTCTGCTTGCAGAAATTCAGGATGCTGTTAAAACCTAAGTGGCCTGATTTCATAGGTTACATGATCTAAAATCAGAAACTTGATCTAAATCCTCACTTTTCTCTACCCTCCACAAATATTTACTAATGGTTTAAACAAGATGCACTTCCTGAATTCATTCAGGAATCAGTTTGTCCAAGAAGCGTCAGGACAGCAAATGGTCCACGTGGCGCCACAGTGGGCAGGTGTGCCAGCTGTGGGGATTGTGGGCCAGACTCACATCCTGGTTCCCACTGGCCCAAAAACCGGTCCTCTGAAGATGCAGCCTCCCCCAGCAGAACACATTACTTTACTCCTGAGACTTATGGGGAAGACTTTGTAATGTACTTTTGCAATGTCATTTTTTTTTTTCAGATTGAAAAGAGGATTGTGACTTTATTAAATAAAATTGTTTGAAATGCAGTGAGATTTCTTTCTTTTAAAATCAAGCACTGAAACACTTTTTGTGCTAAATCACTCAGATATTTGGCACTTCAGTGAGGAAAAAGCTGTGCATTCTCAAGAAACTAAAAATCCTATAGCAAACTTCAATTGGAAAAATTAACAGGGGGGCCTGGTTTTAAATGAAGGCAACCAGTAATAGTTAAAAGTAGAAATATTCTCTGCGTAGTAGGGAAGTGTAAGTTAAATTATGTAATAGGGAAAAAGTAAGAAATAGTTCAGGCAAGGGAAAGTATAAATTTGAAGGCAAACATGAAAGAGAAAAGTGGAAAATCTAATCTCTGAGGTCATAATTTAAAACAAAAAAGGCAAATAGAATTTGATAGAACAATCCACTTCAGATTATTGTTGAGAACTATTTGGCTACTTTCCTATGCCTTCCACAGTAAGGCAACCACAGAATGGAGCTTTGCAAAGAAAGATGAGCTTTTGATTTACTATTTGAATGAAAGAACATTAAGTTGGGTTTCTCTTCTTTAGACCAATAAACCCTAGTCTAATAATGGTACCCAAAGGTATTTATCAAATAAATGAATGTTTAAGGGTCTTGAATTTTTAGTCCATTCTGTGACTTTTAGGATTTTACATTAGAAATAAAATAATTCAAATATTAATAAATACATTGAGAGAAATATCTCTAAATTGGTAAAAATGTACTTTTTCTGAGATTGGTATAGGATAAAAAGTCAATGAATGAATGAATGAATGAATGAATGAATGAATAGAAATAAAAGGAAACAATTTAACCACAGGTTCCTGAAGGAATTCTCTTTTGTTCGAAAAAAAAAAAATCTCTAATATGTTAAAATGAACTAATCAGTAATTTCCAATATCCAGAAAATTCCTAAATTTTTGTTTCTTTTAAAAAATTAAGTCAGGGTCAATCAAATAGGATATATTAGAAACATATCTATTTTAAACAATAAAATATCACTTTGC